CCCTACCTGGTGCAGGTGATGCAGGGTGCCCCCCAGCCCCTCCCCGCTCACCTGGCGCAGGCGATGCCCCGTGCCCCCCAGCCCCTCCCCGCTCACCTGGCGCAGGTGAGGCCCCGTGCCCGGTGCCAGCACCAGGGTGGGCGGTGTCACCGTCTCCTGTGCCCGCGGCCGGTGCTGCTCGGCCGCCGCGGCCGCCGTGTCCAGCAGCACCAGGTGCCGGCCCCGCACCACCAGCCCCCGCCCGTCGGCCCCCGGCTCGTCCAGCGGCTCCCGCAGCCCCCGGTTGTCGTCGTTCAGCAGCCGCCGGTGCACCTGCAGGGCGCGGGTGATGGCGCAGGTGTGCCCGGCCTCGGGGTGCCCCCCTGCCAGGTGTGCCCAGCTCACCATCAGCTCCAGGGAGCCGTCCAGGAGGCTGCTGCCGCCCTGCGAGCGATCCGTCAGCACCGTCAGCTGCAGCTTCTCGTCCTGCGCGGGGGGCGCGGGTGTGGGGCGGGGTCCAGGTGTGCCCAGGTGTGCCCTGGCTGGCCCCAGGTGTGCCCAGGTGTGCTCTGCACAGCCCCAGGTGTGCCCTGGCCGGCCCCAGGTGCGCCCAGGTGTGCTCTGCCCAGCCCTAGGTGTGCCCAGGTGTGCTCTGCCCAGCCCTAGGTGTGCCCAGGTGTGCTCTGCACAGCCCCAGGTGTGCCCAGGTGTGCCCTGCCCATCCCCAGCTGTGCCCTGCCCAACCCCAGGTGTTCCCTGCCCAGATCCAGGTGTGCCCAGGTGTGCTCTGCCCAGCCCTACGTGTGCCCTGCCCAGCCCCAGCTGTGCCCAGGTATGCCCTGCCCAGCCCCAGCTGTGCCCAGGTGTACTCAGGTGTTCCCTGCCCAGATCCAGCTGTGCCCAGGTGTGCCCAGGTACCTTGATGAAGATCCGGGTGTTCACAGGGTAGTAATTCCCTGCCACGGGCTCGCTCTGGCTCAGGTTCCAGGTGGGCCGGTAGTCACGCCTGGGGTGGCCCGGGGGGGGGTCACAGGGGTCCCAGCGAGCCCCTGGGGGGGTCCCGGGGGTCCCCTGAGCCCCCTCACCTGCGCTCCAGCACCTGGCGCCCGTTGGAGTCGGTGTAGAAGCGGCCGGCCGTGCGCAGCGGCGTCTCGAAGCGGCTGATCACCTCCTTGCCCAGCCCGTCCCTTGTGGGGGACACGGGCGTGTCACCGGGGGGTCCCCAGAGCAGCTCTGGGGGTCCCCAGCCCCCTCCCCACACTCACGCCACGGGGATGGGCCCCACGGTCCACTCCAGCTCCAGGTAAGGCTGCCCCGGGCGCAGCCGCAGCACCTGCGAGCACCACGCCGAGAAGTTCTGCTGCACCTCCTGCACCAGCGCCGTCTGCGGGGGCACAGGGACGCTCAGTGACGTCTGCAGACCCCCTCCCCAAATCCGAGGGACGCCCCCGGGACCCCCGCCCACCTTGAGCAGGTGCGTGGCCGCGCGTTTGGCCACGGGGATGGGCGTGGAGGCGTTGGGCCGGAAGATGTAAGCACCCGAGGCCTGGGGGCTGAGCCCGTCCCCGGCGCTGGCGTTGTACCTGGGGGGGCCAGGGGAGCTCAGGGGGATCCCCCCCAGCTGGGACCCCTCCCCAGAATCCTCGGGGGTGCCCCCAGACTCACCAGTAGAAGCTCTGGAAGACGGGCAGCGAGATGCCCTTGGCCAGGTTCTGGATCTCCAGCAGGTGCCCCGTGACGGGGTCGAACCGGACCCGCAGGTGCTGGGGAGGGGGGACACAGGTGGGTCACCCCCACCCCCCCAGGCCACCCAGTCACCCCCTAACTGGTTTAACTGGGAGCTGGCACTCAGCCCCCTGCCCAGCCACCCCCCCAAATCCACGTCCCTCCCCAATGTCCCCTCACCTCGATGTCCCCTCACCTCGATGTCCCCTCACCTCGTTCTCAATCTGCGGCTCTGGGTCCCCCGAGGGCCACCTGGGAGGACTCACGCCACGGGGATGGGCCCCACGGTCCACTCCAGCTCCAGGTAAGGCTGCCCCGGGCGCAGCCGCAGCACCTGCGAGCACCACGCCGAGAAGTTCTGCTGCACCTCCTGCACCAGCGCCGTCTGCGGGGGCACAGGGACGCTCAGTGACGTCTGCAGACCCCCTCCCCAAATCCGAGGGACGCCCCCGGGACCCCCGCCCACCTTGAGCAGGTGCGTGGCCGCGCGTTTGGCCACGGGGATGGGCGTGGAGGCGTTGGGCCGGAAGATGTAAGCACCCGAGGCCTGGGGGCTGAGCCCGTCCCCGGCGCTGGCGTTGTACCTGGGGGGGCCAGGGGAGCTCAGGGGGATCCCCCCCAGCTGGGACCCCTCCCCAGAATCCTCGGGGGTGCCCCCAGACTCACCAGTAGAAGCTCTGGAAGACGGGCAGCGAGATGCCCTTGGCCAGGTTCTGGATCTCCAGCAGGTGCCCCGTGACGGGGTCGAACCGGACCCGCAGGTGCTGGGGAGGGGGGACACAGGTGGGTCACCCCCACCCCCCCAGGCCACCCAGTCACCCCCTAACTGGTTTAACTGGGAGCTGGCACTCAGCCCCCTGCCCAGCCACCCCCCCAAATCCACGTCCCTCCCCAATGTCCCCTCACCTCGATGTCCCCTCACCTCGATGTCCCCTCACCTCGATGTCCCCTCACCTCGTTCTCAATCTGCGGCTCTGGGTCCCCCGAGGGCCACCTGGGAGGGTCCCAGGGGGTCCCCGAGGGCCACCTGGAGGGGTCCCAGAGGGTTCCCGGGCTCAGCTGCTTCACCTCAAAGGTGCTGAACCCCAAGGGGGGGGCCCAGGCCTGGAACAGGAGCTCCCACGGGGCCCTCCCGGCGCCGCCCCGCAGCCGCCGGGTCACGCCGGACACCGGGACCACCTGGGGGGGTGACAGGGGCAGGTCAGGGGTGACAGAGGGTGACAAGGGGGTTTGGTGGGTACAGGTGGGCGAGGGGCTCACCTGGCTGGCCACGGGCTGGCCCTGAGGGTCGGTGACAGAGTACGAGGTGGCCCTGACCGGCAGCCGCACGGGCCAGGTCACGCCCCAGGCCAGGGGGTTGTAGAGGATCACGGTGAACTGGGGAGGGGTCACACGGTGCTGTCAGGCCCTGGGGACCCCCGGAACACCCCCAAAAAGCCCCTCCCCAGGTGCTCACGTGAGGGGTGGTCTCGCTGAGGGGGCACACGCTGATGTTGAGGGCGTTGCAGAACACCAGGGGGTCCTTGGTGCCCCCCAGGAGGGACAGGGCGTTGGCCACCAGCACCTGCCAGGGGTGGTTGGAATTTAGGGGAGGGGTCTCCGGGACACCCCAGCCCCACCTTTGTCCTCCAAACCCCACCTGGACCCCCGGGCAGGTGTGGGGCTCACCTGGCAGCTGTCCCAGCCCTTGGCCAGCTGCCGGGCGTAGTCGTCGGCCACGTGCTGCCTCTCGGTGCCGGCCACGGCGTCGTGGTGCTGGGCCACAGCCACGGCCTCACCTTGGCCAGGGGAAAAGAAAAGGGGGTCTCAGAGGGGTCTGGGGGGTCCCCAGGTCCCCTCCAGGTGTCCCCCACCAGGTACTCACGGAGCACCGAGCTGTCCCCAGGGCCGTAGGGACCGTCCCGTGCCGAGGGCCCGGCCAGGGCTTCCAGCTGGCTGCAGATCTGGGGGGTGAAATCGGTGTTTGAGGGGGGTCCCTGGTGCTCGACAGGGGGGTCCCCGAGGCCTGGAGGGGTCCCCCAGGTGTCCCCCACCTGCAGGAAGCCGCTGCTGAGCCGCTCGTAGCCCTTGAAGGCCGGGCGGCTGCTGAAGTAGCCGGTCCAGAACTGATGGGGCCCATCCGAGTAGGGGAAGAAATCGTCCGTCTTCAGGGGCCTGGGGGACACCCCAACCCAGGATCCCATCCCAGGGGACAGGGACACCCAGGAATCCCACCCCAGGGGACAGGGACACTCAGGATCCCATCCCAGGAGGACAGCAACACCCAGGACACCCATCCCAGGGGGACAGGGACACTCGGGACCCCCACCCTAGGGGACAGGGACACTCAAAAATCCCATCCCAGGGGACAAGGACAGACAGGGACCCTCAGGAATCCCATCCCAGGGGACAGGGACCCCCAGGAATCCCACCCCAGGGGACAGGGACACCCAGGACACCCATCCCAGGGGGACAGGGACACTCGGGACCCCCACCCCAGTGGGACAGGCACCTTTGGGAACCCCCCCCCGGGGGTCCCAGCCCCCCTGTCCCCCTGGCAGGACCTGGGTGGCCGCTGCCTGCAGGAAGGAGGTGACCACGGCGTCCACGTTGCGCTCGGGGCCGTCCCCGTCCACCACGGGGGGGTCGGTGCAGAGCTGGTCCCAGCACAGCCCCGCGGGGGGGTTGTACATGTTGGGCAGGATCCCTGGGGACAGCGCTGTCACCTCCCCGGCCACCACGGGCGGGGGGACAGGGAACACGGCTGGGGACACGGCTGGGGATGGGGGACATGGCCAGGGGGGACAGGGGACACGGCTGGGGACATGGCTGGGGACGGGGGACACAGCTGGGGACAGGGGACACGGCCAGGGGGGACAGGGGACACGGCTGGGGACATGGCTGGGGACAGGGGACACTGCTGGGGACAGGGGACATGGCCAGGGGGGACAGGGGACACAGCTAGGGACACTGCTGGGGACAGGGCTGGGGATGGGGCAAAAAGGGAGAAATGGGAAGGGGACACCCATGGGGACAGGACAGAAGGGTTGGGGACACTGGGAGTGACATGGATGAGGACAGGAAGGAGGGGTTGGGGACACAATGGGGACACTGGGAGTGACAGGGATGGGAGGGGTTGGGGACACTGGGAGTGACAGGGATGGGAGGGGTTGGGGACACTGGGAGTGACAGGGATGGGGACAAGTGAGAGGGGCTGGGGTCAGTCCTGGGAGGGGACAAGGGACAAAGCCTTGGGAAGGGAGGGGACAGGAGGGGAGGGGACAGGGGCAGTTCGGGGGTCCCAGGGGGCCCTGTCAGAGGGGACGGGGGCGNGGGGGGCAATGGGGGGGCACGGGGGTCATAGGGGTCCCCAAATCCCCACAAAGAGCCCGTCGTAGCCCAACTGGGGGGCACGGGGGTCAGGGGGTCCCCAAAGCCCCACAAAGAGCCCAACGGGGGGGCACGGGGGGCACTGGAGTCAGGGGGGTCCCCAAATCCCCACAAAGGGCCCATCACAGCCCATCTGGGGGGCACAGGGGGTCGTTGGGAATGCGAAGGTGGAGTTTGGGGGTGCTGAGAAGGTTGGGAGTGCCAGGGAAGGTTTTGGGGTGCAGGGGAGGGTTTGGGGATCCCAAGGGTGATTTGGGGATGCAGGAGAAGGCCTGGGGTGTACGGGAAGATTTGGGAAACTCCGGGGATGGAGGAAAAGGTTTGGGGATGCAGGAGAAAGTTTGGGGATGCAGGAGGAGGTTTGGAAAGCTCTGGGGATGCAGGAAAAGGTTTGGGGATGCTCAGGAAGCTCCAGGGATGCAGGAGAAGGTTTGGGGATGTCCCGGGGAGGTTTGGAATGCCCAGGAAACTCCAGGGATGCAGGGGAAGGTTTGGGAAGCTTTGGGGAGGCAGGAGAAGGTTTGGGGAGGCAGGAGAAGGTTTGGGGATGCTCAGGAAGCTCCGGGGATGCACGAGAAGGTTTGGGAAGCTCTGGGGAGGTTTGGGGATGCAGGAGAAGGTTTGGGAAGCTCTGGGGATGCCCAGGAAGCTCCGGGGATGCACGAGAAGGTTTGGGAAGCTCTGGGGATGCAGGGGAAGGTTTGGGGATACCCTGGGGAGGTTTGGGGATGCTCAGGAAGCTCTGGGGATGCAGGGGAAGGTTGACATGGCCAGGGGGGACAGGGGACACAGCTAGGGACACTGCTGGGGACAGGGCTGGGGATGGGGCAAAAAGGGAGAAATGGGAAGGGGACACCCATGGGGACAGGACAGAAGGGTTGGGGACACTGGGAGTGACATGGATGAGGACAGGAAGGAGGGGTTGGGGACACAATGGGGACACTGGGAGTGACAGGGATGGGAGGGGTTGGGGACACTGGGAGTGACAGGGATGGGGACAAGTGAGAGGGGCTGGGGTCAGTCCTGGGAGGGGACAAGGGACAAAGCCTTGGGAAGGGAGGGGACAGGAGGGGAGGGGACAGGGGCAGTTTGGGGGTCCCAGGGGTCACTGTCAGAGGGGACAGGGGCACTTTTGGGGGTCCTGGCATGGGGGGGACAGGCCAGTTTGGGGGTCCCAGGGGGACAAGGACAGTTTGAGCCCTCCTT